GTCCCTCCTCAAAAGTGTTTGCTTCTGGTTACCCGTTCCCCCAATTTGCCCTCCCTTCTATCATCCCCTCCTCTCTTATCTCCTTCTCCCTATTTTCCTGTAGGGTAAAATAGATTTCCATACCCAATTGAGTGTATATGTTATTCCCTCCTTAAGCCAAATCCAATAAGAGTAAGATTCATTCATTCTCTCTCACTTTCCCCATTTTCCCCTCCACAGTAAAAGCTTTTTCTTCCCTCTTTTACGTGAGATAATTTACCGCATTCTACTCTTTCTCCTTCTTGTAAAATCCTCTCTCACCCCTTAATTTTATTTTTTAGCTGTCATCCCTTCATGCTCAACTCACCCTGTGCCCTCTGTCCATATATATATATATATATATATATATATATATATATATATGTATATGTATATATATATTCCCTCCACTTACCCTGATACTGAGAAAGGTCTCATGAGTTATAAATATCATCTTTCCATGTAGGAATATAAACAGTTCAACTTTAATGAGTCCCTTATGATTTCTCTTTCCTGTTTACCTTTTTATGCTTCTCTTGAGTCTTGTGTTTGAAAGTCAAATTTTCTATTCAGCTCTGGTCTTTTCATCAAGAATGCTTGAAAGTTCTCTCTTTCACTGAATGTCCATTTTTTCCCCTGAAGGATTATACTCAGTTTTGCTGGGTAGGTGATTCTTGGTTCCTTTGACCTCTGGAATATCATATTCCAAGCCCTTCAGTCCCTTAATGTAGAAGCTGCTAAATCTTGTGTTATCCTGGTTGTGTTTCCACAATCCTTGAATTGTCTCTTTCTGACTGATTACAATATTTTCTCCTTGACCTAGGAACTCTGGAATTTGGCTATAATATTCCTAGGAGTTTTCCTTTGGAAATGTCTTTCAGGAGGTGATCAGTGGATTCTTTCAACTTCTATTTTACTCTCTGATTCTACACTATCAGGGCAGTTTTCCTTGATAATTTCTTGAAAAATGATGTCTAGGCTCTTTTTTTTAATCATTGCTTTTGGGTAGTCCAATAATTTTTAAGTTATCTTCCCTGGATCTATTTTCCAGGTCAGTTGTTTTTCCAATGAGATATTTCACATTGTCTTCTATTTTTTCATTCTTTTCGTTTTGTTTTATAATGTCTTGATTTCTCATAAAGTCATTAGCTTCCATTTGCTCCATTCTAACTTTTAAGGAAGTATTTTCTTCAGTGAGCTTTTGTACTTCCTTTTCCATTTGGCCAATTCTGCTTCTTAAGGCATTCTCCTCCTCATTGGCTTTTTGGACCTCTTCTGCCATTTGGGTTAGGCTATTATTTAAGGTCCTATTTTCTTCAGTATTTTTTAGGTCTCCTTTAGCAAGCTATTGACTTGTTTTTCATGATTTTCTTGCATCACTCTCATTTCTCTTCCCAGTTTTTCCTCCACTTCTCTTACTTTCTTCTCAAAATCCTTTTTGAGCTCTTCCATGGCCTGGGACCAATTCACATCTTTCTTGGAGGTTTTAGCTGTAGGAGCTTTGACTTTGTTGTCTTCTTCTGGTTGTATGTTTTGATCTTCTTCATCACCAAAGTAAGACTCTATGGTCTGACTTTTTGTTTGCTGTTTGCTCATGAACCCAGTCAATTACTTGACTAACAAACTCTTTGTTAAAGTAGGGGTCTGCTTCCAGCATGGAGAATGTACTGTCCCAAGCTTCAGAGATTTTGTGCAGCTGTTTTCAGAGATACTTCTAGGGACCTGTAAATTTTCAGTTCTTCCAAGGTGGTATGATCAAGGATGAGGTATTTACTCCTTTCCTTGCCTGTGCTCTGGTCTATGAGTGACCACAAGCACTCTTTTCTGCCTTGGAACTGTGAGGAGGATTCTCTCTCCTCCACCACACCAGCACTCCTCCTCGTCCTAGGACCTCCACCCAGAACTGTGGCTCAGATCCACGCACAGGCAAAGCAAGAGAATCCTGCCTCAGCACCAGCAAAGAGATCCCTGCAATCCTCCTCTGATCAGCCACTCAATCTCCCCTTCATCTGTGGCCCAAGAGCTCCAGAAGCAGCTGCCACCCCAGGGCTGTGCTGGGACTGGGGCTAGACCAAGCTCCTCTCTCACTGTGGTCCCACAGACCTTTCCTACTGACTTTCTAAGTTGTCTTTGGCATTTGTGGGTTGAGAAATCTGGAGATCGCCATAGCTTCCCCTTGATTCAATCCCCTGAGGCCTTAATTAAATCCAGGATTTATAAATGCCTATGCTGCATTATGAATTCCAAAGAAAAAAGTGGTGTAGTGTAGGACTTCTTTTCATAAATTTATTAGATTTCCTCAGCTGTCTTTAATAAATACACTTATTCAATATTTAATTTCTTAAATTTTAAAGATAAAAATGAAATTCTTCTAAGGAAAAAAAAAGTCTTGGATTTCAAAGTTTCGTAACTATAGTCATAACTTGGAATCCCTTCACCAGGACCAAAAACATTCATTTATTTTGCAGTGGGCTTGGGTAGGGGGAACAAGTACAAAACTTAGCTTGCCACAGGAAGATGAATGACATCAGCTCAGAAGACAATCTGATCATGGGTACAAGTGGGCCATTGGAGGTGGTTGATCAGGACCCTGAAGGAGGACCATAAGGCTTCCGTTCAAGGACTGAAGTTACCAAGGAAAGGAAGCAACCCTTCTCAGATGTCTATACCCTAAGATATACATGTTTGAGATTCTGTTCATGACCAGTAAGACAGGCATGAAAGGAAAAGAATATTCAAGAAGTCAGAAGGTACTGTCAAAGAAGCAGCTGCTATTAGCTGACACTTGTTAGTGATTCATTAGTGACAAATATTCATCACCACTCAAACCTTTTCAAGTTCTCTCTGCCTAGGACCTCCAGTATCTCCTGGTCCAACCCATGAGACTTTCCCAGAGATTCGTAGAACATGGGGAAATATATGCTCACACAATTAAGGAAAGCCATCTAGGCAAACAGAACACTGGAGCCACACTCCTTCCTATATGAAAACTTAATATATTTATGAATTTATAAACTAGCTGCACAATCTTGGACAAGTTACTCAAATTCTCCAGGAATGTTTTTCTTCTATAAAATAAGGGGATTCCATGAGAACAAAATCTCACTTGGATCTCTTGCTCTCCCTCCTGCCATCATCCATAGCTCTGATGTCACCACATTAGGCCAATTTGGGGAATATCTATTCACTTTCCTGGAATATCTCTGCAGCTATGAGCTTCCTATAGGCAACCTCAGAATCAGATTTTTATAGGAACTCTACCAATGACTCATTGTCACTTCTATTCTCTTAGCCTCAGTTTTTTCTTCTAAAGACTAGAATACTATCACCTTAAGGGTCCTTTGAATTCTAATTACCCATGATTCCTAAATAAGTAGCTATCTGTTCTCTGTTTAAACATTTTCAGTGATGAGGAGGTCATTATTTCCTGGGAGATGGCATGGAATAGTGGAGGGAAAACTCAATTCTAAGCTCATGAATTTGAAATATTTATTAAACACCTACTGTATGCAAGGCACTGTGTTAAGCACTGGGGATACAAAAAGAGGCAAAAGATGGTCCCTTCCCCCAATGAATTTTCAATCTAATTAGAGAGACAACATGCAAATAAACATATACAAAGCAAGCTATCTACAGAATAAATAGGAAATAATTAATAGAGGGAAGACACCAGATTTAAGAAGTGCCAGGAAAAGCTTGCTGTAAAAGCTGAAATTTTAGTTGGTCCTTAAAGGAAGCACAGGAAGTCAGTAGATAGAGTTGAGGAGGGAGAGCATTACAGGCATGGGGGACAGAGAAAATGTTCAGAGCTAAGAGATAGAATGTCTTTTTTCCCTAAACAGCAAAGAAGCTAGCATCACTAAATCAATGAGTACTAAATCAATGAGGAAAGAATAAGGTATAAGGAGACTACTAGAAAAGAAGGAGGGAGCTAGATTATGAAGAGTTTTGAAAGTCAAAAGCAGAGGATTTTGTATTTGATATTAGAGGTGATTAGGAACCAATGGAGTTTATTGATAGGGGACAGGGTGAGACCTGTGTTTGAGAATGGAGGACATACTGGAGTAGAGAGAGACCTGAGGCAGGCACTCACCAACAAACTGTTTATAGAAACCTGACTTTGCAAAAACCATTTGAGTCAAAAGGGAGATAATAAATATTATTGCTTTTGTAGATTGACTACATCACCATTCAAATCTTTTCTATTTTTCTGTGTCTAAGACCTCCATCAGCTCACAGCCCAAACCAAGAGATTTTTCCCAGAGATTCATTGAACATAGGGGAACATAGACTCACACACATATGGAAAACCATGCAAGTAGCCCGATCCCTATAACCATACTGCTCTGTCACAAGATTTCACATGGTTCGATTGCTTCCCTCCAGCCATAGTAAACAGTTCTGCTGCCACCACATAAGAGTAGGTTAGGGAACATCTACCTACACTCATGGGATATTACTAAAGTCACCATCTACAAACTGAAACTTTGAGCATGTATTGCATCCTCTCTGAACCTGTCTTCTCACCTGTAAAAAGGTATAGCTTAGATCAGGGGTGGGGAACCTACTGCCTTGAGGCCACATGTGGCCTTCTAGATCCTTATATGCGAATAAAGGCCACCCATAAGGATCTAGAAAGGCCAGGTGTTTCCCACTCCTGGCCTAGATTCTATCTCACAAGCTTATTGTGAGGATAAAATGAGATCAAATACATAAAGCACTTCACAATCATGAAGCACTATAAAAACGAGCTATGACTATTTGAGGACATTCCCCTGGCATAATATGTTCTAGAAACTGACTAAAATAACTAACTAGTCCAACTCATGATTCTGGGGAATCTCTTCATTCCTAGCTCTGAGCTACAGGAAACACTTTAAAAAGGGAGTTAATTAGAAGGCATCCAGAACCTGTTTCCAATGCCTGGCACTTACACAAGTTGGTTGCACAATCAAGGTAGAACTCCCTATCTGTATATATTGCCAGCCCCGTAGTGATCAGGCACAGAGCAGCTCACTTTGACTTACCTCACCTCACTCCCTTTGCCACTATCTATACCATGAAGGCAGCAGCTGCATACATGCTCCTAATGCTGGCACTAATGCCCATCTTCAGTGAGTATCTCTTTCCCATTATGATCTTAGCTCCCTATGCCAGCTGTCCTCTTAGAACAATTGGCTTGGAGAGCCCAGAATAAAGATATTTGGGAAGCAGAATGGCTTCCTGTTCAGAATGAGAGCATTAAAAGGAAATAAACATGTTTTTCTGGATTTTTAAGAGAAATCATGCAATGTCATGGCTGGAAAGGGCCCTAAAGTAACAGAAGTCGGATTATTAGGATTCAAATGGGCAGTAGAACAGATAAAATTAGAGGGCAAGGTACCTTAGTCTACAGAAAAGTAGAATTGTAAGACATCATAGAAGGTTTAAGGTTTAAAAGGACTTTCAAACAATGCTAGAGCTTGAAATGAGTTTAGAAGACAGAACGGAAACTGCTTGAGCTACAACAGATATTATTAGAGCCTAGAATTTCAGAGTTGAATGGGTCTTCAAAGTTGACTAACTCCCTTCATTTTACAGAAGTGGAAACTGAGGCAGAGGTAGGGTAGAGGAAAGAAGTTATTTGCCTCTTTATTATTACAAATAGACCTTCTAGTCACATGAGAAGAAAGTACTTCCTAAGGTTCATGGTGAAGGAGGAAAAGCATTCTTGGGTCATTCAGGAGACCATTTTGGCTTTTACTTAATCCAGCCTTCTTTATTTCTATTCTAGATGTGGAGTCAACCTCAAAAAAACAAGTAAGTCTTCTTTCCCCAATCTCCAATCCTTTTGTTATTGGATTTCTTTCTTATAATAACAATGCATGTGAGATGAATGTGATGCTAAATTTAAATTCAATTATTTTGTGTGGAAATCACTGCAAAATATATTAGATAAAAGGACTCATTCCCACAAGGCATTCTGAGTCAGGAGCCTGACAACAGTCAAACCTCTAATTGGCAATAAATTGTAAAATTATGACTTAGACTTGTATGGTCTGATGCTGAGTGAAGTGAGCAGAACCAAGAGAACGTTGTACACAATAACAGCCATGTTGTGTGATGACTAATATTGACAAACTTAACCCTTCCTGGCAATACAAGGATCTAAGACATCTCCAGAGGCCTTGTGATGGAAAATACTATCCACACCCAAAGAAAGAACTATGGAAGTCGAATTGTTATTTTTTTCTCTTCTGTTGAGTTTTGTTTCCTCTTTCTGATGGTCCCTCCTATGGGTCTTAATTTCTACTTACAACATCACTAATGTGAAAATATGTTTAATATGAATGTAAATGTATAGCCTATATCAGATTCTGTGCCATTTTGGGGAGGGTGGTGGAGAGGAAGGGGGAGAAAAATTTTAAACTCAAAAGCATATGGAGGTAATTATTGATAAATCAAAATAAATTAATAAAAAAAATAAAGTCAATTGCACCCGAAAAAAAAAAGCTAAAAAAAAAATTATGACTTAGATCAGTAGAATCCAGGTACACAGAGCTAAAAGCTGAGAGTATTCGAGTATGATAGGTATTGCTCAAGGTCTTAAATCAGACATCAAAGATATAGGGAACTCTTGGCCTGGAAATTCCTCTTTCAATGTAGATCAGTGACTTAGCTATTATTTATAGGCTTAAAAAGGAAGTGTCACTGGGGGCCCTAGAGGTTAAGTGATTTGCCTGTGGTGATCTAGCTAATATGTGTCAGGAGCAGAACTTGAACCCCAGGTCTTTCTGACTTCAAAGGTGGCCATCTATCTACTCTGCCATTCTGCTCCTTATTCTACACGTAGCAAGTGTTTAATAATTGTCTGTTGAATTGATGATTGGGACTCTGGAAACCTTAACTGCCCCCCACCCTTTCATTATAAAGTACAGGAGAGGGAGGGCAGACAAACTGAGCTCAGGGGCTTTGTGTTCAAGTTATAGGCTATGATTTCCAGCGTGTCTCCAGGTCTCTTTTTTAAATGCAGAGACATAAGTACCCCAGGGTTTTTAGAAACCTGACTATCCAAAAAACCATCTGAGCCAAATAGAAAATAACACATATTATTGCTTTTGCAGGTTGACTGCAGTGGCTTTAAAAAATTGCCACCAGGCGAGGCCCCGGTCTGCATACAAATATATGACCCAATATGTGGTTCTGATGGAAACACATATTCTAATAAATGTATTTTTTGCTCTGCTGTTAAGTAAGTACAGGCATCAAATGGAAAGTAAGAGAATGCCTGAAGAGGGGGGCAGTGGTTAATACAATGAAAACACATTTTAGCATAATGTACAAGGTCAGGGTCCAAGGGACCATTGCTCCAATTCCTTAAAGCATATCCCAACCATTAGATCAGGATGTACCATCAGGTCACATGATCCACACCCCTCTCTGCCACATTTCTTTTATCCTCTATCCTTCTCCATCCCAACACATACAAACAAAATGCCTATAATAATTCCCAAGAGCAAGATTAATGAAGTCAGACAAAATGTAGTATAACTTAATGAATGGAAAGCTGGATTTAGAGATGGGAAGCTCTAGGTTCAAATACCCACCTATGACATTAATTAGCAATATAACTTTGACCAAGGCATTTGATCTCCCTAAGCCTCAGCTTCCTTTCCTGTAAAATGTGAATAATGATATCTGTATTTCCTCCTACTTCACAGGATAACATGAGACTCAAATGGGATAAGGCATATACCTCCCTTTCCAAATTTTAAAGTAGTACATAAGTATCAATAATATTATCATCATCATCATCATCAGTATTCCTTTCCTGATCCCCATCCAGGGGGTAACAGAACCAGTATCCATTGGCCTGGTCATACTCTAACTTGGGATTTCCTTCTAATTGGGGTGTCACATTTCCATCTCATTTAGGCCAGTGTCTTTTAGTTCTAATATATCTCCATACCTCCACTACGGTTCTATGGGCAGGAAAGGGTAGGCAAGGGAGTGGAGGGAAATTGGCACTTGGCAGTGATTTTTTTTTAAGAACATCAATTTTACATTTCAAAGAAAAAACAAGAATGGTTGATGAATTTTCTAGGTATGTTCAGAAAAGGAAAGCAGAATACCATTATATAAATACAGACTCTCAAAGTAAGAAGGGATATCAGTGATCATCTAATCCTAGCTTTTACCCAGTACATAAATCTCCTCTATGACATCACTGCGAAATGGTCATCTTACTTCTGTTTAAACATCGCCCGTGATAAGGAGCTCATCACTTCCCAAGACAGCCTATTCCATTGTTTCCTACTCTGCAAAGAAGACAAAGTTAGACTACTTCGTCTTTAAGATCATTTTGAGGTTCTATAGCTTGATTCCAGACAACGGGCCCATGGCCTAGTGTTCTTCACTTAACTTTCTGTTCTCATTCCACAGGCAGAGTGATGACAGAATCAGATTTGTAAATTTTGGGATGTGTTGAATTAAAGCAACAGTTCTGAAATATTCTCTGCTTCCTTTCCTTCCAACTAGAAGATCAATGCACAAGACATCTGTTTTTCCAGAAGATTCTCCTTCCGAATGTTTGTCTGATTGTCAACACTGCTTATAGAATAAAAGCAAAATTTATTGAAAAAATTTTTGCTGATTTCTGTTGGTATGAAAGAAAACAAGGAATCCAAGGGACAATAAGATCCCAATTGTCATAATAGGATTGAAACTGGTAATGTTCCAACAAGAGAATATCTGTAGGAGGAAAGGAGAAACATGCTCACTGGCTTCAAGGTTTAAATTCAAGGAATTAAATTAATTCAAGAAATTAAACTTTTTGTCTTGGTCCCAGAGGATAGGGCTAGTGCAATTAGGAGTTGGGTAGTTGAGCTGTGTTTTTTAGGGAGGAGGATTTCAGCTTAATAAAAGGAAAAAAACAATTAAGAGTCAAATAATACTGCAATATACTACCTCAGGAAGCAGTAACCTTTCGGTAATTAGAGCTTGTCAATCATAAGCTGAATGACTACTTCTTGGAGACTTCGTAGAGTTTATTTCTACTATTTCAGAGATGGAATGACTTCTATGAAGCCCATTGTCTAAACAATTCTTTGAGACCTTAAAGCTTTAGAACCCTCCCACAACAGACTATCCTATAAAAATGCAAATGGTCCAGAGAAATATTAAATTTTGTTTATTGAGAATCAGACCTCATGGGAAATATCCAGGAGGAGGATCTGTAAAAAGAAAAATTTAGAGTCTTTTTGATCTTTAGGAAGGTTTCTGTATGACTGGGATTATTTCTATTTTGGCACATTTAACCTATAAGAAGCAACTCAGACTGCTGGTGTTAATCCTTGGATTTTATGCCAGATGCCTACAAATATGTCTTTGTCTCAAAGTGAGCCATGCCATGGTTTAGTGGAAAGACCAGGGAATCCAGAGTGTGACAGTTTGAATCTTAGCTCTGTAATTAACCACCTGGGTAAACTGGAGTAAATCACTAAACCACTCTGGGCCTCATCCTCTTTATTGATAAAGTAAGGATTTTAGATTAGATTACTCTCTAAAGGTTCTTCTACCTGTGATCTAAATAACCTGCTAGGAAAGCTCTCGGAGAACTCCTGAAATCTCTGTTTCACAAGTCTTATGCAACCAGGTTCCCATTGGTCAGAAAGTTCAGTATTATGAACACAGAACATTAAAATTTTAAATTTTAGGGCAAAAGTCACATAACTAAAAAGTAGAAGACCAAACAATATCTTTAGTTCTCATGAAATCTCAAAAACTACCCAAAATAGAAATTCTGTGCAAGAGGTAAAGAAATTTTAGCTGTCTTCATAACCCAAAATACCAAGAAGTCTACCAAGGTAATAACCTTATGAATTAATGATAGAGAAGCTAATCACTAACACTCATTGTCCCTCTCCCTCCTCCAGCAGCCCCTGAACTCTAGCATGGCATACAATCTGACCCACTAGCTTATGCTCTGGGATCCACACAGCAATTTCCTTGTCACCATTCAGTGACAACAAACAGCAGAACTCAGCTCTGCCTATGCACTTCGAGGGGAGGGAGTGATATAAGAAGCCAGCATGCCAGAATGCAGCAATACTCAGTCAGAGAACTAAAGAAGAGATGGAAGAGCAAAGGAGGTCAAGATTCACCTCAAGGTGACCTACCCTACAAATCTGAGCCTAACCATAACTGAAAAATGTACAATAACATTCAATAAAGGAGAGGCATTCAAAACATTCCTAGAAAAAAAAAACAGACCTAAAGACGTGATTTCCTTCTCAAACACCTCAGACAACCCCATACAAGAACGTTGAACAAACACAACAAACAAGGAAAGTAAGAACAAAACCCCAAAGTAACCATTAAGAGATTTCTCGCTAAATGTAATGGATGTGACAAGGGTGAGAGTAGAAAAGGAAATGATAATGGAGAAACGGGCCTGAAACATGAAGGGAAAAAAACTCAGAAAACCCTGTTTATGGGTGAATCAATGTTTCTGAGGGGTTAAATTACACAATGCGAGGGTATGTAAAAGTGGGTAGGGAAAGAAGGGGAAGAAGAAGATAGAAGAGAATATATGATGTACTCTAATCAAGTCAAAGCTTAATAATGAAGAGAAAATAACTCCTGTATTCTCTCAGGAAGAAGAGAACCTAGAGAATGGGTAAGGAAGAAAAGGGAAAGAATAAAAAAGGGGAAAAGAAATGGGAGAAAGTTATGGGGGAAATTTTGTTCACTTGATGGGAGAGAATACCACTAATGAATGCTCCTATGCGTAAAGACAGAGGGGTAAAGGAGACCTGGCGCTGGGTATGATCTTAAGAGATTTGGCACTTAGAGATACCATGCATCCTGCCTCAGGAGAAGTAGAATCAGGGTTCCTTGGGGCAACTAACATCTAAAGAGTGGGACTGCATGAACACAGTGAGGAGATTTTGAAGCAAGTGGGGATCGGGGAATGAACAAGGGAAAGTAAAAGGTCAGTAATTAACTGCCTGATGAATGGCATAGGAGAATTTCTACCTCAAAGCAATCTTCTCATCACCTGCAGGAATTAGTATTTCCAAGAATGAGTCACAACAGAAAAAAGGGGGGGGGGGGACAACCAAAGGGCAAAGTTTACAGGATAATAACAAAACGAATGACAGACTGGATAAAAAAATAAAACCCCATAATCTATTTCTTACAAGAAATACATTTAAAAAACAAAGCCATACACAGAATAAATCTGAAGCAGAAAAAAAGTTACCATTTTTTACATTTTTAGTCAATCCAAAAGCAAAAGCTGTAATCATATTACCCAACAAAGATAAAAATTCACAACATAAAAAGAATAAAAAGGGAAACCCAATTGTGCTGAAATGAACTATCGATATTAAACCAATGTCACTATTAAACTTATATGCTCCAAATGTTTTAGTATTTAAATTTATAAAGGAAATATTAACTAAATGACAAGAAAACACAAACAGGAATACAATAGTGGCAGGAGATTTCAATGTCCTCCCAGTTTTGGAAAAGTCTACCAGAAAGATAAAGCAAAAGGAAAATATGGAACTGAACAAATTGCTAAAGAAACTAGTGTTAAAGGACTTATGCTATCTTCAAAATGGGACTACTAAAGAATATGTATATATATATGTATATATATATATAAATATACATATATGTATATATTTCTCAGCACCTCATGGAACTTTTACAAAACTTAATCATGTATTAAGGCACAGAGATTGCAAACAAATGTAAGAAAGTACTAAACATATTCCTCACAGACCATAATGTAATAAAAATAGCAATCAGTTCCAGGACCACAGAAGACCCAAACTCACATGGAGACTTAACAATGAAATCCTAAATAATGAGGAAGTCCAAGAGCAAATCACAGAAAAGACAAATAAAAATTATGCAAAAAAAGATAGTGATGAAACAACACACCAAAATTTCTGAGATGCAACTAAAGCAATCTTAAAGGAAAAATCATATCCCTGGAAATATACATTAACAAAATAGAAAAAGAGAGAGCTAATGAACTGAATAAGTGTTTTGCAAAAATTAGAAAGCCAACAAATAAACAAACCTAAACTATGTAATAAAGAGGAGATAGTAAAAAATAATAGAGAATTAGATAAAATGGGGAAAAAAAGCTAGAGAAATGATAAATAAAACTTAAAAGCTAGTGCTTTGGAAAAACCAGTAAAATTGATAAATCTTTACCAATCTGATTAGAAAGCAGAGGGCAGAAAATAAAATCCATAAAATGGTAAATGAACAATATAAAACCAAAATAAGGCCAGAAGGGAAAAAAAGGAATAATCAGTATCTATTATACAGAATTATATGATAATAAAACTGAGAATACAAAAGAAATAAAGGAATACCTACAAAAATATAAAGTCCAAAACTAAAAGAAGGTTTAAGAGATCAGTCTCAAAACAGGAAATAGAGCTAGCTATAAAAAAAATTAATGAAAAAACTCCTTATCCTGATGGATCCACAAAATAATTCTGTATCAGAGTTTAAAGAATAGTTAGTGCTCATACTGGGTGGCCAGGTGGCACAGTAGATACAGTGTTCAGCCTAGGGTCAAGAAAACTCATCTTCCTGAGTTTAGATATGGCCTCAGATACTTACTAGCTGTGTGACACTGGGCAAGTCACTACACCCATTTGCTTCAATTTCCTCATCTGTAAAATGAGCTGGAGAAGGAAAGGGCAAAGCATTCCAGTATCTTTGCCAAGAAAACTTCAAACAAGGTCATGAAGAATCAGATACAACTGAAAAATAACTAAACAACAACAAAAGAACCCATACTTCACAAATTATTCTCCAAAACTTTTGTGAAACAAATGTAATCTTCATAACCAAACCAGGGAACTATAAATAAAGTACAGGAAAACTATAGACCCAATATCATTAATGAATACTGATTCAAAATTTTAAAACAAAATCCTATTAAAGAGACTAGCTTCTTGAAAATACTTCAGAATTATACTTAAAAAATTACTAAAAGGTGCATGCCATTTGACTCAGTTCTAACCACTGCTAGATCTAAAGCCAAAAGAGATACTGAAAAGAAGAAAAGTTCCTCTATGTACAAAAAAAAATTATTGCAGCTCTTTTCATGGTGGCAAAAAAACCCTAAAAACTAAGAGGATGTCCAACAATTAAGGAATAGATGAATAAATTGTGGTGTATGAATGAGATGGAGCACTGTAATGCTAGAAGAAATGAGGAAATGTATAATTTTTTTAAAAAATTATATTTACAGATGGAGGATAAAGTGAGCAGAACCAGAAGACCAATTTATAGTATAACATCAATATTAAACAAATGAATGATTTTGAGAAATTTATCAACGGACAAAGAATGAAATGAGCAGAATCAGGAAAACAATTTATATAATGAGAACACTTGAAAAAAATATTTTGAAAGTTTATGCAATGACCACTCAGGCATAATCACAGGAAATCAGTGATGAAACATCCTATCCATTATAGAGAATGACACATACAGTTTTGCTTGACAAAGTATATTTGTTTCAATAAATTTTTTTTTTATCTTTTAGGGAGTGAGAATGAAAGAAAACATTTCTGTTCATTTTTTAAAAAAATACAAGGGTTGGGGGA